GGGGGGGGGGGGGGGGGGGGGCGCGTACCTCGGCGTGTGAGCTGCTCGGTGGCTTTTCTGGTGGGATTCCTGCGGGGAAGCCCCTCGGGGGTGTGAGCATCCCGCAGGGGCCCCGGCACTGTGGGATCCTACCCGGTTCGGTAGGATCCACAGCACAGAGCCAAGCTGCCACGAGCGTCCGTGGGACCGGGGCTGCAGGGATCTGGTGACGCGGTGACCCCCCAACAGATCTGTCACGTGTCAGGCAGAGTGAACAGAAAAGTAGGTGCCACTGACATTTCTTTATGGCATGCCGATTCCTTTCCAGCCATCCTCTTAATGGTTAATCCCAAATATTCCACGATCCCAACGTCTCTTCCCTGTCTGCTTGTCATGCCGAGATCTACTCTGGGGAAAACAGGCCATCTCGCTGCCCTACGGAAATTGCAGGGTAGTTGCCTTTTAAAAAAAAAAATAAATAAAACGGGTAGTTCAGAAATTATACAGACTGTAGGAGGCATTCTCAATAAAACAACAGGAATAGTCTGGATTTTATTTTAGACTCTTCTTCCCCCCGCCCCATTTTCATTTCAACCACTAATTACAAAGCGCAGGCTGGAGGCTCAGCAGTGGTGGAGCAAGGAAGGAGGAGACGTGTGTGCTGGGTGCGGAGAAAACAATTTCACCAACTGCTTATTTCAAACAGAGATCAAACGAGGTCCCAGGTGACGGGTCCCCACTGCCATCGCGAGAGCTGTAACGCAGCGTTGTCGCTGTCGGCGAAGTTCGTATGTGCACGAAAGAGAGGGGAGAGCTAAGGACCGACAGTTATTAGGGAAATGTAATCTTTTTATTGTGGTTTGCCGAATAAAAACTCTGCCAGCCGAGTAGCGTTTGGCGGCTGAGTGGGGATGAGTCGGGTCCGGAGAGGATGGACTTCGAGAGTGAGAGAATCAACTGTGGGACCCATGGTGGGAGTCGTGTGTAAATCGGCACAAAACCTCCTGCCTCAGGAGCGGACCATTGCGGCTTGGGGAAGCCACAGCCTTCCTCAGGGTTGTAGGTGGATTCCCGTGATCAGGGTTGTTTTTTTCCAGGAGTTCAGGGAGACTGAACCCTTTTTTTGTGAGTTCAGCACCGGCCACGTAAGGAAGCTGAGCTGAGCAGCGTCCTGGCATGACGGTATTCCTGCCGCTGGGCTGACTAAAAGCACACGGGGTGGGTGATTCGCCTCTCCTTCTTCTCCTTAGGCATTTGCTGATAACAGCCAAGCCCTGGAAGGTGGTCAGAAGATAACCATCCCTGTGGGAGTGCGTGGCGGGGTGTTTATTTCCTGCACTGCTCTCTTCATCGCTCCCGCTCCTGGCACGATGAGCATCAGTGATGCTGAATTCTCCGGCAGGTTTTCCCTGCTGCACGCAGGGGAATGACAAGAAACGGGTCAGGCACAGATTTTAGTTTCAGTGTGACCCACGTGTCCCTCTGAGAGCACTTTTTGCCCCGTGTTACTGCACTGCGGCAGAGATGAACGGCAGCCCGTGGGGCGAACCTGCAGCTCGCCGGTGGGCTCCAGGGTCAGCTTGTCTCTGGTGTCTCGGTCCTAATTTCAGCTAGATGTCGAGTGTGGGTGATGCTCTGGGAAAACACAGGTGCATCAGGCTTGTGGACCAAGGAGCCAGGCTTTGCTCATCTCCAGTAACAGCTGCTCTCTGGGCTGATGGCTTGGTGGTTTACGGTGGTGTGATGTTGGGTAGAAAACTTTCTGTGGTGATATTCTTATGGAAATCCCTGTAGCAAGAGGCCTGAGGCACTGTGAAAGCTGTGAACTAGTTGTGAAAGTGTGCGTTTTCAGTGTCGTCCTGTGTTTGCCTCTGCACCCCCATGTAACCTCGTGTCGGGACTCCTTCCTTGTATGCAAGAAAGATGAATTGCATTTGGTGTTTTCTGGGTTGCTCTGTCTTTCCCTTCTCTGAGCCCTCATTGCTGCACATGGCTCCTAAAACTCTGGTAGAAACAGCTGCTTCACTTTAACACATTCCCTTTTTCCTTACATCCCAAATGCAGAAGCACTGAGAAGCTGAAAGTAAAGCTGATTATAACCAGACCTCACCAAGCTTCATTATGTCTCCGAGAGGAGGGTAGAAAGAAGCCCAACTGGATTTGTAATCGGTTAAGATGTGACTAACAGCATGAGCTAGCCAGAAACCTCCCAATGCAGCGACTGTGTTGGAAAAGAGCAGTTTGTCAAAGCTAAAAACTTCCATGGGCATCATATAGGCTGGTTTTGTCAGGAATAGTTGGGGTTTTTTTTGGATCCGAGATAAAATTTCTGGTCAAAACAAGAAACCCAAAGAGACCCCCACCCCAAAGTAGTCGGCCAGTCAGGCCAGCTGCTGGCACAGCTCCTCGGGGCAGGGGAACAGCACTTTTAGCAGTGGCCTCTCTGACTTCTTGATGCCCATCAAACACGTCAGGCTCTCCAGTCGGGAGACGGGCTCACCGCCTGCACCGAGGGGCTCCGGTTCCTCAGGGACGCGCGGGCTTCTCGCACACCCGCGCTCCCATTCATTCAATGCATGGGTGCAGCAAGCCACGCTTCCCAAACCTCCCGCTCCTCCCCAGGGACGCACGGGCTTCTCGCACACCCGCGCTCCCATTCATTCAATGCATGGGTGCAGCAAGCCACGCTTCCCAAACCTCCCGCTCCTCCCCAGCTGGGTTTGGGCAGGATCCAGTGGCTGGAAGCTCCTGCTTTGCCTGCTGCCAATCTGAGTCTCGGGAGCTCCTTGTCAGGGGTCTGGGCTCGGGCGTATTAGGAAAACCGGAGCAGGTCATGCCTTGGTGCTTTCCTCCCTGTCGGGGCAGATGCCCTCCAGGAGGGGAAAGCTGCCGCGTCTGCAGCGGGGGATGAAGGGATCTGGCCACTGGCCACTGCATCAAGATGTCCCCGCTCTTCTCCCATGCCACAGTAGCCTCGAGAGAGCTCCTAAACAGGAAACTGGTTCAAACCAGAGTGCCGCTGCCGCTCCTCCGAGCGAGGCCCCTTGGTGACGGTTGCGCCATCACCGCTCGGCGCTGTCTGTTGTGCTCTGTTGTGTTTTCTCTCCGTAGTAACGTGCCAGTGGCTCCCTGGGGAGCAAGGCCAGCCCGCGGCGTGCAGCGAGCCCTGGCCCGGGATGCACGCGTTCCTTGGGACGTCTCGTCCTCTCAGCTTGCCCCACACGCAGCTTTCAGCGGCCACCTTTCAGCTCAGCAGCCAGAAGAGCCGAGCCCACCTGCCTCTGGGTCTGAAAGCGGGAAATGGGGCTGGCGTCTGCTCTCTCCCCCCTTGCTCTTGGGGAATGGCTTTGCAGCAGTGCCCCAGGGAGGCTGGAGCTCAGGGGCTGCCTCCAAAGGCTGGTGAGCGCAGAAATTGGCCCGCAGGCAGCAGCCAGCCCTCGCCAGACCCCTGCCCTGCTCCGGTCCCAGGCACGCAATGGTGTATTGTAGGCTGGGGCCAGCACAGAGGGACAGGGAGAAGGCCTCAGGCTGGGGGGACGGGTCCTGCTGTGCTGCCAGTGCTGCAGCATCCCCTCACCGGGCAGGTACCATGCACACCCGGGGAGAGGGGACCAGCGAAGGATGGGCTGGAGCAGGGTGCCTGTGTCTTCCCGGACACCTGCCGTGTCCCTTCCCCAGCTTGGGGCTGGGGCCGGGCTCCCTGCTTGTTCATCCGAGGCTCACGAGCCGCCCGGCTTGGGGACTTGTATCTGGTGGTGCGGCTGAGCCTGCAGCGCCGGGGCCTCGTCAAGGCTCACGAGCCGCCTGGCCTGGGGACTCGTGTCTGGTGGTGCGGCTGAGCCTGCGGTGCAGGGGCCTCGTCTGCTGCCCAAAGCTGTCTGCCCTGCTTGGGTGGAAGCTCTGTGCCACTGGTCCTGGTGGAAACCCTCCATGGAGAGCAAGTTTAGACCTGGTCTCTCTCCCACCTTCTGTAAAAGCTTCCCCTTTCCTGTGCACCCTGTGATTCGAGGGAGGGAGGGAGGGCTGGGGACCAGCTGTGCTGCCATTGCTGCCATTTTCATCGTGCAGCCTCCTCTTGCTCCTCTTTCTTGCTGTACTGATTTGCATTGACTCAGACTTCCTCGCTCGCGGTGGCCTCAAAGGCGAGGTGCTGCGCAGGGGAGTGTCTGCAAGTCAAACATCGTGATCAGGCTCATGGGGCACTGCTCGGGCCGGCCGAGACCTGAGCCTGTTTTGCCAAGCTCCGTCTATGCAGGCTGATAAAATCCCTGCCCCAAAGTCTAAGGGGGCGAGACAGACAGGCGGGAGGCCGGCTTGCGGCATCCCTCTTATGCCATGTTTTGGTGTGGTTTCTGCTTGTGTGCCCCCTCTCTTCAGGGGGGATTGAGACAAGCTGGGGCTGGGCTGCTCCTGTGAGGGGTCAACGCCGCTTCCAGCTCCCCCAGCATTGCAGTGTTCCCTTTGCTGGGGGCAGCCCCCCCATGCCCAAGGTACGTAGCACCAAGGCTTCTTCCAGCATCGTTATTGCAGCAACGTGTCTCTGCTCCCCCACCTCCTCCCTCTGGCCCCGGGGAGGCTTTTTGGTGGGAAAACAAGGGTTGTGCCCGGAGCTGCTCATGGGGAGCCCAGGAACAGTCCTGGTTTGGGGGTACAGCCTGCTTCACCCTGCTTTTCCCGGAGGCTCTGGGCCACAGTGAGGACAGTGGGGAGAGGATGTGCAGAGCAGCTGTTTTTCAAGGAAACAGGCTTTCCGCCGGCCAGTCCCTCCCCTCCCTTCACGAGCTGTTGGCCACCTTCAGCCTCGCTCAGTAGAGGAAGAGGGATCTCGATCTGCAGGAGAGGCTGTTCCTGCAGGACCTGTGCCATGAGCCGGCATCACCGTGGAGGCAGGGCTGCCGTGAGTGCACAGCCTGACAGCAGACAGTGGAGAATCCGGGCAGGATACTGTCTTACAAGACTGAAATCCTTTTGGATCCCGGCTTTTCTCCTTTGTTGATCAGGGCTTTTTCCCACCTCCAGCCCCTGGGGCGGTGCAGTCCCGTGCATCCATCTGTGCCCAGCTTATGGGTTTGGTTTGGCATGTTCTCACCTGGAGGGGCTGCAGGGTGTGTTTGCGGTGACCTTTAAGCATAACCACTCACCTCTGGCTGTCCGCCTCCATCAGCTCCTCTTGCAGCCTGGAGCTTCCTCTTCCACCACCTTCCTCGGTTTGTGGCTCTGCATCACCCACCATCCTGCAGCGGGGAGCTGGAGACAAGGGACCAGGAGATGCTTGGTGTAGCCCAGCCCAGCCCCGGGGCTGCACAGAAGTGGGGACGCAGCAGCGATCTCCTCCCAAGCCATCGGTGTCACCTGCAGGGCCTGCACCAAACCCTATGGCACGAGTGTCCCTGGTTTCATGAGCTGGGTGGCTCGGGGTCCCATCACCGAGGTGAGCACGTACAGATGCATTTATGTACTTGGCTGAACCGGGATGTTTTTCTGAACTGGGACCAGTTTCCCACAGTGTTGGCAGCACTGGTTTTCTCTGCAGAGCCGGTTGTAAAAATCCTCTGGGCTCTGCCTGTGTTCATCTGTACGCTAGTGGCACACTGCAGCTCCTGTCCTGGTTGGGGTTTTGTGGTGCTACGTGGTACAGCGAATATCGAGGGAAAGTCTGTCCAGGGCAGATCTGAGATTCCTCAAACACTGCATCATCTTCTGCTTTAAAATGCATTTTCGTGGGTGATACTTCTATATGGATCATATATATAAAAAAATATAATATAAAAAAGTATATTTAAAAAAACCCCCAACATTCTTTTGCTCTGTCATCACTCAGAGAAGGATTTAATCTTGAACTTATTAAAGCTTCAGGCAGAGTCTATGGAAAGTTTTGGCCTGGGAGGAGAGCAGAGTGGAAGGTCTGGAGCATGTGAAAGCCACCATTATAAGAGCGTTTTACAGCCTTCGGTGCTGCCACCTCTGCCGATAGCACCTCTAAGAGAGCTGCCGCCGAATGTGTCGCTTCTGATGCGAGGGTGAGGGCAGCCGGCTTTGCCTGTGCCCCGACCTGGGCGGGCTTTCTCTCAAATGAGACAGGTCTCTGCTGCTGGGGCAAAGCTCAGCTTGCAGCTGCTCCCTTGGCTCTTGGCTTTGTTCGGGTGCCTGGATCCACACGGGGAAATGCTGCGGTTCTCCCTTTTTTTTCCCCCGCAAAGATTTGTGGCTGTGAAGTGGGGCTATAGGATCTCATCTGCGCTGGTCTTCCTAACGGGGAAGAGGCGAGCACCCCTTCAGCCCCTTCCCCACCCCGTTACCTCTGCCCGTCCCAGCGGTTCACCCCAAACCCTCTGTCCCGAGACAGAGGGGGGAGCCTGGGAGCTGCAGGGAGGCTAAAAGAGCTTGGCTTTTTGGTGAACTAGAGGCTGAGAGCAGCAGGACTGATGCCTGTAAATACTTGGGGGGATGGCAGGGAGGGAAATTATTTATGTCTACCCAAGAACAATGTTGGCACAAGAATGAGCGGGTAGAAACCAGCAGGAATAAACTTAGGCTGGAAATGCGAAGGTTTCCATCCGATGTAGGAGGATTGAGTCTCTGCCTAAAAGGAGCAGGAGCAAAAACTTGAGCTGCTTCTCTTGAAGCACAAAATTCAAATGGTCTCATTTCTAGTGCCTCTCAAATACAGCGATCAGGGGAACTGGGCTGGAGTTGTCAGCTGAAATGCAATAAAATAAAGCGTAGTGAGCTCAGCTAAAGCATATAGTAAATGCAGGTGAACCTTGTGGCCCTTCACCCTCCAATAACCATTGGAGGGAAAGGAAAGGTTTCCATTATTTTAATTGAGCTTGTCTCTTGGATTGGAAGCTTGCATTTCTGAAACTCACTTTTAAATACAGAAACCCTCTAGAAATGAAATGTTTGCTTTTGCGTTGAAGAGAGAAGCTCGGGTTCTGCAGACGAAGTCGGAGGGGTGTTATTAGCCCTCCTCTGGTTTACACGTGTGCTGAAACTTCTTTTTTCCTGTAACTGAACTGCTGTGAGAAAGGTCAGGGTGTCACAACAGGAAGCCTCTGTGCGTGTGTGCGCGCATGTAAATGTGTGTGCACAAACCCCCCTGCATGCCTGTGCACGCTTTCCTGTGTGTTTGTGGGATTCATCTCTCTCCCAGCATCTTCCCCAAAATGTGTCTGTCCAAATGCTGCGACACCAGGCCAAGAAGTCTTGTCCTGTTTTATATGCCATGACAAAAAACTCTGTGCTGTAGAGAGAAAGGAATCGGCCGTTACCTGGATCAGCTTTGTCCTGTTCTTCCCCCTCCTCTTTTTGCTCACTCTCCCATCAACACATCCCACCCATCCCTGCCAGCTGCTTTCCTACCCTAAACGCGTTGTGTTGGCACGTCGGCCCTTGATTTAGGGCTGGGTGGAAAAGGTCCAGGGGCTTGGAAAAGCCAAGCAGATCCACCTCTGCTCGTGCCTCGGGAGGGGGACCAACAGGCATGTCCAAGTGTCACCAGAAGCAAAATCTCTGCTGAGATTTTTCCACTGTGTGAGACCACCCAGTGCCGCAGCCATTCCCGCGGGCGCGAGGAGCCGCACGAGGGCTGTTGTAGCAGTCCCAAGCTGCCTGTCCCCTGCTGTGGGTTCCCCGGTGAACGGCTCCATCCGACGGCGGGCCGGGAGCCTGGGGCTCCCCGGGGACATCCTGAGCCTCACCCCTCTCTCGCATCCCCCAGGTTGCCACGACAAGGCGGTGCTGCTCTATGAATATGTGGGGAAGCGGATCGTGGACTTGCAGCACACGGAAGTACCGGACGCCTATCGAGGGAGAGGAATAGCCAAGCACCTCGCGAAGGTACAGCCCCCGCCACCCCTTCTCCCCTGGGCAGAAGCTGTCGCTGTCCCAGCCGCGGCTAGAGACCCTGGCTGAAGCAAGGCCCCATTGCATCGGTGTTGCACGCGTGCCCCCCAGGAACCATCCCCGCTCCGATGGGAGATAGGGGTGGCTGGCGGAGCAGATGGAAAACCGTGGTCAGATATTCCTATTTCTGGCGGTGAGAGGGGCTGGGTGAGTGCCAGCACATCCAGCCGCTTGCCCGGGCTCGGCCCTTTCCTCCTCGCAGCGAACAGCCCTCGCGCCCACCTTGCAGGGGCTGATGCAGTGCCTCTCCTGGGGGCTGGACCCCCTCATCTCAAAGCTTCAGGGCCCTCATGAGCCCTTTTCCTGCCTTGGGCCCTGTTTTGAGGCCCGCAGCCGTGCAGGGAAAGCTGAGGAGCCACAAGCACAGTGGTGGTGGGGGATTGCGGGGTGATGCTTTGGGGTTACAGCTGCTCCCTAGCCCTGTAAGCCAGGGCAAATAGGTGACAAAGGTGGCCTTCACGTGATGTGGCTGGGTCACCCACAATGCAGCATCCACCAGGCTGGATGCGTTGAGGGTTACCCAGGGGGTCCCTGCACACTTCTGGTTAAACTGGGGACCTTGTGGTGGCTGTGGCAGGACGGCCATGCCCTCCCCCCAGCCCTCTCCCCCCAGCTGCCTCACGCAGGGCGTATGTGAGGGCAACCTGCCGTTTCCCCCAGCTGCACCTTGGGTACGGGAGTCCGGTCCCCCGGGATGTTTCAGAGGAGATTGTAGGCTGGGGGTGCTGGTTATAACCCATCTGTCCTCTCTGGTTGGTTGCAGGCAGCCCTGGACTTTGTGGTGGAGGAGGACCTGAAAGCTCACCTGACGTGCTGGTACATTCAGAAATACGTCAAGGAGAACCCGCTGCCGCAGTACCTGGAACACTTGCAGCCTTAAGGCAGGACAGCTCTGACACCAGCACGCCTGTCCCTGACTGTTCAACGCGGCCTTTGCTTCTCTGCGGTCTCAGGAAACCCCCCTCCCACACTCACAATTCCCACTTTTTTAAGTACGTCCATGTGATGCATGAGTGTGGGCACGACCTCCTCCTCTCTGCCCACGTGTGAGCATGGCTACAGCCCCTGGGCCAGGCTGGCTCCGGGCACACGTGGTGCCCCCCGGTGCTCTTCTTCCCAAGCCCCCCCCCCCCACTCACAATTCCCACTTTTTTAAGTACGTCCATGTGATGCATGAGTGTGGGCACGACCTCCTCCTCTCTGCCCACGTGTGAGCATGGCTACAGCCCCTGGGCCAGGCTGGCTCCGGGCACACGTGGTGCCCCCCGGTGCTCTTCTTCCCAAGCCAGGGGGTGGAAGAGGATGATTTTTCCACCAAACGCCATCACAAGACCAGGGGATGACTCAATCTGCGCCTCATCCTCTCCCCTCCGCTTGGCGACAGCAGTGAACTGGCTGGGGGATGTTGGTTAGGGGTGGTCACAGGGCACCAGCCCCCCTTTCCTCCCGGCAGCTGGGGAAGATGCTGTGGATTAAGCCTTGTGGGACAGAGGGAGGTGCTGGGTGAGCCCCAGCCCCACGGCAGGTTCATCCCCTGCGGCATCTGCTGGGCACCGAGCCTTGCCCAAGCCCATGTGGGGCGCAGGTGAGAACGTGTGGGCCATGGTGGTGCCTCGGGAGCTTTGCTGCACTGACTGTGGAGACGCTGGGATGGTGACACCTTCGAGCCTAGAGACAGGAGCCATGTGAGGAGCGGGCTTCCGCCACAGGGGCTGCAGCAGAGCATATGCTGTGTGAGTGTGCAGAGGAAGAAAGGCGGCTGAGTCGCAGACGCTGCTCCCTGAAGATGCCAGCTCCTGCCCAGCTGTCTGCACATAGCCCCAGCATGGCATCCCTGCAGGGTCGCGGACCGTTGTTCCTGTCTCTGCTCCCTGCTATCGGTGTTGTCCGTGCTGGCGTGGACACAGCCTGCTCAGGAGAAGAGCACAAGCCCCGACGGCCAGCCCTGGCCTAAGCAATGAGGGGACATCCCATGCTTTTGCAGGCACCAGGGTGGTTTCCTGCAGCTGAAGAGGAAGGCTCTCCCCCACCCCATCTCCCTCGACTCCAGCTCTGCACCCCTGTCTGTGCCCCAGATCCTAAGGCCTGAGCCGTCATCGCATCCTGAGAGCATCAGGGGTAAGGCCTCCGGGACCTGGTCCTGGCCCGTCTCCAGGGCTCGATGCTAGAGCTGCCTGCCTCCGCGTGGATGCTGATCACTTCTCTTTACGGCCTTTGGAAAGAAGCCCCAGCTCAGGGCATTACCCGTCTGCTCACTGGTCTCCTCGCAGCTCCAAGCCCTGGGCGCTAGCAGCATCGTGGGGTCCTCGGCCAGCAGCAGGGAGGAACACCCTCGCGTTGCGCTGTTACCTCTGCGGATGATGACCCCGTAGCACAGCTCAGCGTTGCCACAGTCGGATGTAGAGGTAACACCGTGACGGCAGGGCACTGCCTGGCTCCAACTTGCTGCCTGTCCTGCCTTGCCCAGGCTTTCCAGGGCCTGAGCTAGACCCCAGAGCATCTCCCCACGAGCTCTCGGGATTTTGCAGGGCTGCGGTGGGGAAGACGGTGCTGCTGGCACGCCAGCCCTGAGCAGCCGCTGGGGGCTGCAGCCGGGCAGAATGAGCTAAAGAGCCTTTCACCTGGAGGCTAAATCCAGACCTAGCTTATCTCTCAGCAGGGACTAAAGTTTACAATCTGTGCCACGGACCGAATGAAGCCCCGGCCAAGAGGCAGCTCAGCCCTCTCCCAGAGCCCAGTGCAAAGTCCATGGTGGCAAAGGCAAAAGTTCCTACAATCTTCTCTCCTGGTTGGGTTGGTCAGAGATGGAGACCCTGTGCCTGATCTCAGCCAGGGAGGCCCTCAGCTGTTCCTCCCAGCCACAGGCTCGAGGCAAAGCCCTGCCACCTGCCTGCGCTCGCGGGCTGCCCACCGCCGACATAACGCAGCCCTCTGCCCGCAGGCTTGAGTAAAATCTCCCAAACTCCATCCCTGCCCTGCCACACCGCAGGCTGTGAGACCCCCGCCCGTGTCCACCACCTGCCTGGGGAGGGACCTGTGCCCGGCAGCAGACCCATCTCTGGCTTGTGCTGCTCAGGAAAGGCATCAGGCTCAGCCCTGCCGCTGCCTCGTGCTTCTGCCCTCTTGTTGCCTATTTCAGCCTGGCTGCGACCTTCAGGATGGTTTAGAGGGACTGGGAAAAGGTCGCAGGTAACGAACTAAAGAAAAGGGGCTGAAGAAGAAATCTGGGCTGCTAAATGTTCACTCTTTAACATGCAAAACACACTTCAACATCTAGTTACAGGAGCAAGGCTGTCTCTGTTACAGCCAAGTGATGACAGAACCGTCCCTGCTCTTGATCCCAAGGTGAAGCTGAACTGTCTCCTCTCCTGCAAGCCAAGATAAGACACCGTCATATCTTTGTCACAGCGGGGCTGGGTGCTTGGAAGAGATGTGTGCCTGGTTGCCTCGTGGGAGCAATAGCGTGAGCCCAGCGCTGCAAGCCTCTGCCCTGGTTTTGTGCTCATTTCCACTGTGCGACAGTTCCCAGAAGTACCCCATCATGTCTGCCGCATGAGAGCGGCTCGCTGGAGGGTGTGCTGTGGTCGCTGCACCAGCAGGGTCCCAGCATCCAAGCCCAACCCTGGAGCCCTTCGTGCTGCTCTGGCAGGAACCTCGTGCTTCCTGGCGCTGGATCACAAGTGGCGATCACTGCCTTAAATCAGGCACCGCACACAGTTTTGCTGCTGCTTCCCTTCGAGGTGCTACAATCCCTCCGGTGTCTGACCTGACGGAGATGTGTGCCAGTGTCCGTGCCAACCGTTTCACTGCTGTACCCATCCTCTGCCCCGGCCTTTCCTTCCCCGTGGTTTTTGATGTCGGCAAATAGCAATACCCACAGGTCACCAGCGGTGCCGCGGTCCACGGTGCTCCTGTGATCTGGCGCTGCCAGGTGGGAGATGGCTCGGGGTCCCTCGGCACTGGACAGCCCTCCCTCCTGCCTCTCTGCCAGCCGCCCTTTCCCAGCTCGTCTCTGCAGGAAGGAGCTTTGAGTTCTGCACTGCCCCTTGGTGCTGACTAAGCCCGGAGGAGTTGGGGATCCTGGACTCTCTCTGGCAATGGGAGTGTGGAAGTGGGTTGGTTGAATATTGAGGTCCCCAAACCCATTTGAACTATAGACCTTGGTGGGTGGGGAAATGCAGAGTGCCGTCAAACCTGCTTCCACATCGCCCAACTTGAAACACCCCCATCCTTCGTCAGCTTTCCAGCATTGTCTTCCTCTGTCCAAGGTTTCCATTCTGTTGAATTCGGTGGTTACGATGTGCCTTTCCTTCTCAGGACCTGTTACAAACGACCTTTCTGCTTTTGTTTATGTCTAACGTTTATCTTTATCCCTCCCTCTGTCATACTATAAAACATGAACATATTGCATGGAATACAACACAATAAAAAGTGTGGCTTAACTGACCCGCAGTGGTTCGCTGTGCCGCGCTTGGTGGGAGGCAGGAGGAGGTGCCCACGGAACCAGGGGACCTCGGGCATCTCCAGCTCTGTCACTGCTGGGCTAGGTCACTGCAGCAGAGAGCCTGTTTCACAGGTCCTGTCAAACAACTCTGCCCTCCAGTCCATGTCCAGGGTATGATTTTTGCTGTCTTGTTGCTGCGTATTCATTTTCTACATAAACGTAAACAATCTTTTTCTCATCCCCAAAAAGCGCATCCTCTAACAAATCTAACCCCAAATCTCTTAGACGGTAACTCCCGTCCATCTGGCAGTGTCTTGGAGAAGATGAGAGAACAGGCAGAAGTTGGCAGATCTGCATGTTGGTGTACTCAGCAGCTACTCTCCTACTGCCTAACCTTCCCCTCCAAAAAATGGAGAAAATGCTACTCCTGTCCCTCATGAGGAAGAGGATCTCGTGCAAGAAGAACCCCATCCAGGTGGTGAGGATGATGGAGGGTCCATAAGACCCTCGCTAGGTTCAGAACAAAGGAGGCTTGGTCGCAGGCCTGGTGTTGGCCGCAGCTCCCTGTGATTTGCGGACAGCCACTCGTGTCTTTTCATCACCTAACCTGGATGCTACCTGCATCACCCTTCTCCCATCGCGGAGCACCTCGGAGCCAGATCCCGGGTAAGCCCAGCATGCTCCCATTGCAAATCAACAGGGAGGCACGGGCTGAAGCTGTTGAATTTTATTTCAGGTCGTAGGGCTGGCTGACCTCGTGGTGACTGTGTAGAGCTTGGGGTGAGTGGGATCACAACTGGTTCCTCTCCTTTGCCGGCTGATCCGCCCCTGCTCACGCTTACCAGTCCTGCCTTGAGACTTCGGGCCAAACAGTCTTCAGGAGTTGTCCTGCAAATGCAGCTTCTCGCGAGCAGGCACTCAACATTTGTGTTCATCGGTTTAAGATGTTTGAAAACATTAAGGCATGAAAACATTTAAATAGCCGGCGGCGTTGTTCCCTGCTGTGCTTGTCCAGAGCAAGGCGGGTGGGCAGGTGACTCAAAGGAACACGAGGCGCTTCTCTCCTGGGGCCAGCGCTCCTCAGCCCTGGTAGCGACAGCCCCAGCACCCAGGCTCCCAGCACAACGTGTTTACGTTGCTTCCTAAAGCCGGGTGCAAGCCACGGGGGCTGAGGCCGGAGTTTCAATAGCTGAAAATGCCAGGGCTGCGGGGGGGTGGTGGTGTGGGGAGAAGGGGCACAGCTTATTTACAGTTATGATTTGATCCAACGTGACAAGTGGCCCCTGGGCTGCAATTCGAGCAGGCGTGGGAGACAGCACGGGAGGTTTGGGTTATAGCACGAAGCTGGGCTGTCGCTGGTAACATGCTCTGTTTACATTCCACATTCCAGAGGGTCCGATGCTCCGGCCTGCCCCAGCAATGCCGCCGCTCGGCTGCGCACTCTGCCAGGCTGGGCACGCTTCCCAAACACCTCTTGTTTGTGCAAATGCACCACTTACCTCCGTCGAAACAGATGACCCCCAAATTACGGCTGAGAAAGCAGGGGTGCGGGAGGGCCCTGCAGCCTGGAAGCGCGGCCTCGCAATGCCTGGGAAGGTGGAGGAAGCCATGGGTTCGTTCTCTTTAGTGACATTACATCACTTGGAAATAATGTTGTCAAAAAGAGGCATTTTCTAGGAAGGGGAGATGCAAAGACGGCGCCGCTCTCTTCTGAAACGCACCGTCAGGCCGGTTGCGCTCTCCGCCACGTGCTGGGAGCCGAGGATAGCTGGCAGCGCAGCGTACCTCCGGGAGAGGGGAGGCAGCAGAGCAGGGAGCTGCTGTTTGTTAAGGGAAAACCAATTCCCGAGAAAAAGGCTCCTCTCCTGGGAGGAGTCAGAACTGGGAGCTAGAGAGGGCCCTGAAGAAGCACAAGGATCCTGGAGACACGCCATCCAAGCACCCCGGCACAGGTCCCCTTGGGTAACCCTGCTGTGCTGGGGGGTGCCCCCTGGGCCAGAGGCTAAGGACAGGGTGGGTCCTGGAACATCCCCACAAAACCTCCAGCGTCAACCGCTGCTGGATGGACAGGAGCTGGGAAACCTGTGACAGCGGCAAACCTGCACTTCGTTTTCTAGTGAAGCGTTTGGCTATGAACTGTTATTCCTTCTCAGAGATGCAGCAGTGGCGGAGCCTCCCCATTCCCTGCTCCTCTTTCAGAATTGATTAAAGGGGCCATGTTTGCCCCAACAAAGCCCAGTCTCTCTTCCCCGGGGGGTGCTGCTCGGAGGAGGTCCTCCATTCCTCCTCCGCCTGCCAACAGGAATCGCGTGTTTCTTTTCGAGCAGGAGAACAAGGCAACGCTCGGGCTCTGGAGGACTGTTGAACCTCAGCAGGAGCTGACCCAGCTCC